ATAAATGTATTTATTTATTCAGTTAGTAGTTTTTTTATTTTATTTATTTATTTATTTTGGTACTAGGGATCGAACTCGGGTCCTTCGGCTTGCAAGGCAGGTGGCACAACCACTGAGCTAAATAACCAGCCCTTTTTTTAAATAGTAGATAGTTTTTTGAGACAGGGTCTTACTTTGTAGGTCAGTCTGAATTTGAACTCACTATGTAGCCCAGGCTGCCCTCGAACTCCTGGCCATCCTTCTGTCTCAGCCTCCCAAGTGCTGGGATGACAGATGTACACCATCACCACCAGGGAATCTTGTACATCTTCTGAGTTGACCACTTGTTTTTCTACTGTCTTAGCACTTAGGGAAGCTCTCCAGCAGATGGGCTTGCTAGCAGTAGGAAGAATCAAGGCTAATTTATCTGATGATGAAGGGTGTGAGATACTGGAATCCAGAAGTGAAACAGAATGTGGTTGACCATGTTCCCAGGACCTCTCAATACCTGGTCAGGACTATTTGGTAGGCTGGGTTGTGAGCAGTGAACCTGAAGGAATTAAAAAACCTGACCTTTCTCCAACCTATTCAGTCCCCAATCAGGTCTTCAGAGTCCCTCTGACCGATGCTCAGAACTTCAGCTTCTGGTGGTCCCGTGATCCAGGAGTGCATCCAGAGGAAATCATACCATGGATCCAAAGCCCACGCCACTGTCTCATTAAAAGCCCTATGACCAGGTAGGATGGGAGAGGTTAGGGTAGGGAGACCAAGGGAAGTACTCTCCTCTCACTGAAATCCTTACACATTGTTTCATCTCAAGAGTTAGAGAAGAGGAGGAGAAATTTGGGTATTAGTAAGATTTGGCTCCAGAACCTGAGCTGTAGTCGCTCTCAATGGAGTTAAATATTTGCCTCTGCCTTTGTGTTTCACCTTGTGTATGTGACTTTTGAGTGGGCATAAATGTGTACAGCATTCCTGTGAGAGGCTCGGGCTACGTCTGCTCCCTTCACGACCACCTGCCCAACTCTCCAACTACCCTACTTTATCACTACCCCTGCCCAGTCTGCCCTGAGGCAGCCACAGGCACTATTTTTAAGGATACCTGCCCACCCTCCAGACTGAATCTGAGATCCTGTCTCTTTTGTAGGTTTATGGATCACTGTATTCTCAATGACAGAACCTTCAGTCAATATTGAGGAGGATGTGGTTGCAGATGGACAGATGAGCTGTGAAAAGAATGCAAAGTGGGGAAAGAGGGAGAAGTGTCCCAGTTCATATGACTTACTAATGGAAGGAGTGGATCAAGAAAGCTGAGTAAACAGACTGGACTAGAGGTCGCTTGTGTCTCTGGGAGATGGGAGATGGAGAGACACTCCAATGCCCAGACTGCTGTGAAAGCAAGTGTGTGAGATTACTGAAGAGACCAGATCTTGGTATGAGATGTTTGGAGGGGCCAGGGCTCTGGAAGGAAAAACTGTATGGGTCTTTATTTGGTTCGTGAATGATAAGGATCAGAGTAACAAATCTGGGAACACACACCCTGGCCCTCATGATGCTCAAGGCCTAGATAAATCATGCCCTGAGGTTTTACCTTGGCAAGGAGAAAGCCACAAGAAGCCCTCAGACCTCAGATGAGAGCAGTTCATAGGGCCCTGAGCAAGAGGCTGACTCTCCTACACTAGGCTTTGCCACTTCTGACACAACCCAGGGCCCAGAACAGCTGCAGAGAACAGAAAATTTTACAAATAATTTGATTTTATTTTATTTAAATATATTAAATATTTCACTGAAATACATGGTACACCACCCTCCCCCACTCCCACAGTGGTTACATTATAAAACCAAAGCCCATGGCCTCCCATCCCAACTCCTCCACAACTCGTGAGGAAAGGGGCAATGGTAACCCAGGGGAAGGGCATGACTGGCACTGTGCTACAGGGAGCCAGGGAGTGGACAGGACCCTCCTACCTGGCAAGAAGCAGAGAAAAATCACCCAAGGCTGAGGTCTTCCCACTCTGGCTCACTTATACCCTCACCCCCTCCCCATGGCACCAAGGAATCCTTCCTATCCAGAGATATGGTTTGATGGGAAAGGGAATCTGTCTGAAGCAGCTAGCTTCTCTCCTCTTCTCTCCTGGCTAATGAAGTGCCTGGTGGTTCATTTGGTTGATGCATGCAGAGCCCCAAGGCAGGCAGTACCAAGCCAGAAACAGGCTTCTGCGAGGAGCTGGTGTGTCAGAAGGAGCATGAGGAGGGGCAAGGGCACTACCTATTCCTTCCACCTCCCCAAACTCCTTTCCCCTCTGCTTCTCTAGACACTTACAGGACAAAGTGATCTTAAAGCAAAACTCAGGCTAATGCCTTTGCCTTAAATAAGTATAGACAGAGAAACCAAGGCACCAGCTACTTCAGGCCAGAGTCAAAGAGGCTGCAGGGAAAGGGGTAAAAGGAAGGTAAGGATAGGAAGGGAATCTAGAGTTCAACTTCCTAACCCTTCTAGCAGCCCTTTCAGGATTCATGGGGATCGGGAGTGAAGAACATAGAGACTCAGGCTGAAGGCTCAGGGAAGCCTAGTTTAAGATTCCCCTGTCCCATCCCCTAGTACCAATATCTGGGTCCTCAGAAGGATCCCATGCTGCCCCAGTCCTAAAGCATAACACATCCCAGGACACAAGCCGGGGAACCCAGGAAATTCCTGAGCCTCTTCCCACTAAACCCCAGACAGTTCAAATGCATGGAGCATTGAGGCTCAAGCAGGCACTCGGGTCCCTGCCTGAGACAGGGAGACAGTCATACTGTACATGTGGCCCCAAATGGCACTTAGGGATTTGGCACAAAAAGGACTCCTCTCCCCAGGCCACCCCCCTTTTGCTGCCACACCCCCTCCCACTCCTGTGCAAGCTGGGCATCTCTCTATATCCCTTGAAATAGAAAACCCTGCCTTATTCCCAGAAGAGAGGCCCACAGGAGAGGCAACCCCTGGTGGAGAGCTGAGGAGCAGGAGCACAAGGAAATACACAGACCTGGAAAATAGATATGCACACAAAGAGCAACATGCACACACAGTAACACTAATACACAGGCCCTCCCCAGTACCAGAGACTTGGGAGGTCAGGTTTGAGATCAGGGTCTTCCTCCTCTGTGCCCTGACCCTTTTCTTTTTGGCAACAGAAGGAACAGAGATGCTCATGCCCCCTTGCCAGCAAGCAAGTGCTGGGATTAAGAGACCTGATCATAGCCACGCTGAGCTCAGATAAGGCTGATACCATCCCCCTACCTAGCTGCCTGCATTCTTTGGCACCTGTAGGTGAATGTCCAGCTTCTGATCATCTGACATCTCCACACCCACACACAGGCTGGCTGGCCGGCCATTTTCACAGTACCAGTGAGGCCAGACACCCCTTTCCCTGGAGCGTGTAGGGACTAGAGCTAAATCTGAACTTCTCAGGTCCCTTAGTTCCCCTTTGGGGAACAAATCACAGACTAGGATTTGGCAAATGGAAACATTCCCCTGAAATGTCGATAGAGCTGGGGCCCCAGAACATCTCTGTCCTGCCCTGTCCCTAGGAGGGAGACCTAGCTAGGACTGCTGGTGCACAGGACCGGTGCTGGGGACATAGGCATAGCAAAGGCAAGTATGGAATAGGCACTCCTCATGCCTGCCCCAGTCTTTGTACAAAAATATTCCCAGGAAAAAGGGAAAGAAAAGACCCAGCCCTGAACCTGTTGTCCAGACAGGGGAAGGGTAGGCGTGGCAAGTTGGCATTTTAATCTCTCAGGCAGGAGGGTTCCCCTGTCTATACTGCTCCCTCTGCTGCTCCCAAAAGCTGGAAGAAAGTAGAAGAAACAGTCCTACCCCAATTAAAAAAGAAAGTCAGTTGCATAATCTTCTTGGTATCCCTGTTCACCAGTCTGAGGGCAGAGGAGCATGATCCAAGAACAGCCTTCTGGGGTGTTCTCTTTTGTGATCAGCAAGGTCTGGAGGCTCAGTGCCTCCTGGCACAGCTCCACCCAGCAAGCGCAGAGTCCACTCAATGCCCACCTTGGTCCTTTCAGTCGAATCTGTGGCTGGTCCTGCTAACTCCTGGGGCCCCCATTGAGGAAGTAGGTGGTCATCTCCCCCTTGCCCTTCACCTTGACCACCCCTCGACACTCCAGTTGGTAGCCCTTGGCAGCTAGAACCTGGTACAGGTCCGTGGTCACCTGGGGAAGTGGGAGGGGAGCCTGCTTAGCCTGGAGTCCTTCCTGCTGCATCTACAAAAGCCCAGGGGTTCTCTAGTCAGGCTAGCTCACCTCCCCCAACTCTCGCCCCACCCACCACAGAAGACTGCCACCCTGCCCCTGTCCTGCAGAGATCTGTGGGCCCTCCCAGCCTTGTCTCATATCCCGCTCACCTGTATTCGGTCAGGCACCCCTGTGCTGTCCATACGACTAGAGACATTCACTGTGTTCCCCCAGATGTCATACTGTGGCTTCCGAGCTCCAATAACACCTGCCACAACTGGACCCATGTTCAGCCCTGAAGTGGGGAGAAAGGTAAGAAATTAGACTTGGAAGTCATCCCACCTCCTGGCACCTTGAGGAGAAGCCGGAGAAAAAAGTGGAAAGGGACAAATCTGGTGGTCAAGAATGGAAGACCTGGACCCAGACACAGTAGTGCACGCCTGTAGTCCCAGCACTGTGGATGTTAAGGCAGGAGGATCACAAATTCAAGCCTCACCTGGGCAACTTAGTGAATTAAGAAAACCATATCTCCAAAATTAAAAACTAAAAAACATGTAGCTTGGTGTGAAGATCCTGGGTTAAATGTCCAGTACCAAACAAGCATGGTTTTGTATACCTGTAATCCCAGCACATCAAGGCTGAGGCAGGACTGCTGTAAGTTCAGGGTCAGCCTGGGCTACATACATAGTCAGTTCAAGACCAGTCTGAACTACATAGCAAAACACTGTCTCAAAAAAAAAAAAAAAAAAAAAAAAAGAGGCTATTACAAACTGTGCCGCTATGAAGATGGGTGCACATGATGTATCTCTGTGGTGTGATTCTTTTAATTCTTTGGGGAAGATAACCAGCAGGGGAATAATAGCTAGATCAAATGGGGCTTCCAATCCTAGTTCTTTGAGGTATCTCCATACTGATTTCCACAGTGGTTGCGTCAGTCTACACCCACCAGCAGTGGAGCAGGGTTCCTCTTTCCCCACAGCCCAACCATCATGATAGCAGCCATTCTTTCTGGGGTGAGGTGAAATCTCAGCATTATTTTCATTTGCATCTCATCTCTCAAATGGCCAGTGACGTTGAACATATTTTCATATGTTTATTTGCTATTTGTACTTCTTTGTCTAAGAAATGTCTGTTCATTTCAGATGCCCATTTTTGAATTGGGTCTTTAAATTTGGGGGGTCTGATTTTTTTAAGTTCTTTATATATTCTAGATAGTAGACCTTTGAGGAACAACTGGTGAAAATTTTTTCCCACAATGTGGGTTGTCTCTTCAACTGAAGACTGGATAAAGAAAATGTGGTTATGGACTGGGGATTTAGCTCAGTGGTTCCACCACCTGCCTCACAAGCCCAAAGTCCCAAGTTCGATCCCCGGTACCAAAAAAAAAAAAAAAAAAAAAAAAAAAAAAGTTTTTGTTTTT